ATTAAGGACTTTCATGATGGTGAGCGGGCCCGGGTAAAACTACGTGGCCGGGAGTCGGAGCCATTCCCTGTTCACCTTGGCGTGCGACAGGGATGTCCTCTGGCTCCCACATTATTTAATATCTTTTTCGACCACATAGTTCATGAAGCCTCTGGAACAGATACAATGGGCGGCTGATCAATGCCCGGGTGCGGTAAAGGGATGGCTCCCTATTGGTCAACCACGCTATGTATGCCGATGATCTGGTAATTGCCGCTCACTCAGGAGGAAGAGTTGGAGGCGCTGCTGCTGAAATTGGAGCGTGCCACTAAGAGGTGGGGACTTACCATCAGCCCCTCCAAAACGAAGCACTTGCCTGGGTATTTTGTACCATTGGGTACTCAACCCACACAACTCCCAATCGGTAATGGGGCAGTTGTGGAGAGAGTGGAGTTTCCCATACCTGAGCAGTGTGCTCATGACCAGCTCCGGTTTGACAGTGGAGGCCTCACTCAAAATCAGTCGAGCGGCATTATATTTTCATCGGTTGCGTAACGCTGTGTGGAAGCTGCCTGGTCTGTCGCTTGGCACGTAGCTTTAGGTCTTCTCGGCCACGGTCATTCCCTCCCTTCTCTATGCTTGCGAAACGTGGAGCATCTTCGCCGGTTGGAAACATTTAGGCTGGCCTACCTACAATCCATCCTGGGTTTAACCAGGTTGGTTTGTGCAAGGAGCTCACAAATCCTTGAAAGATATGGACAAAGTCCCATCGGTGAGCTCCTCTGGCAGGCAAGACTGCGTTGGCTGGGTCGTGTAGCCCGCATGCCCAGTCACCGCATGCCTAAACAACTTTTATTCGGCCGGATCGAGGGGGCTAAACGGGCGTGGCACAGGCTAGAGAAGAGATGGAGTGATGTTGTACAGGAGGATGTGGAGCTGAGTGGTCTTGCTGATGACTGGTACCAGTGGTGTCAGGATCGGCCTCTGTGGAGGAGGCTCGTGAAAGACGCTGCTGGGCAGTTGGAGGCAGTCGCGGAGGAGCGATGCTCATAACAACGAGAAAAGCGCCAGGTGCCTAAAGCACAGCAAATTGGCACAGTAGGGGGCACAGGTGGTGCATCAGCCAGTCATCTCAGTCAGTTGACCCGTAGCACCTGGGTCTGCCCCGTGACCTGCCAGCGGGCGTTCGACACTTCACTTGGCCTCAAGGTGCACATAGCCTGGCACAAGCGTCGTGGTGACGTCACTGCCACTTAGTGGCGAATGCCAGTTGTTGTGTCTTCTTGCTAACTGTTGAGTTAGCGGCTTCTGAGGTGCTGCGTTCCTTGTACCGAAAATTCCTCAGGTGCTCTCCGCTGCTTCGTCAGTCTCCACAGCTGGGCTGGTTGCCGAGTTGGCACGCTGGTCACGCTGTCGGCGGTGCCCGTGCTGGCAGGGATGATGGGTCCGGCTCCGTCTGTGTCGATGTGCGCGATCATCCTGTCGCCAGACACCGCTCGCAGCTCGTCCGCTGGTTGCCGCGCATCACCCCCCTTGGCACCAGACACTGTTGATCCTTGTAGACTGAGGAGCGACTTGGAGAGACAGTGCCTGTCGTCTCCCCCCCCCCTCCTCTTCAAGAGAGTCCTCTTCCAGTTGTCTGCAGAGGGCACGCTACAGATCAAGTTATATCGTTCAGTGTCAACCTCTGATCCGACCCTCAACTAAACTTCGCCTGTGGGTTGCGATTTAAAGGGGCACTCTCACGAATAGTGGTTGCATCAGTTTTCCCTCGAAGGTTTGACTTTGATTGGAGCACAATCATAACGATTGTAACTATGATCGTATTGGCTGTACACAGCGACCTCACCACTGGGAATAGTAATGCTCCGGCTCTCTCCCCACGTTTCTATTGTAATACTGTGAGCACCAGCCTTGGCTGGCAGCCTCTCAATGACGCAAAAAAACTCTCCGTGATGCGTGGCTTCTGCCGATGCAGAGCTCCCTATAAATTTGCAAGTCCCGAGGGCAATCCCTGGAGCCTGACTCGCAGTACTACTTCTTTTGTATGGCATTGTGAAAAGCAAGTTTTTATTTTTAATTATCGTCATAAAGGAATGCAAATGTAGTGAGTTCAACTGAGTCGCAGATGTTGTTCTTTATAGGCAACACATTTATTGTAACATCAACACGTAACAAAGGCGTAACTGCCCCTTTACCAGATACACCTAGAGCGGTGACCACCCAGCTAACTACCCTATACGGAGGAGTTACAGCTACGAAGGGTCTTACCCTCACTCGGGTTCTGACCGCGTGTTGATGCCTGTAGAGCTTTCAGCTTGTAGGACGTGGAGGTTGCAGCTTATAGAATGCAGCGACCAAGGTCCCTCTCAGGGACCCGCCTTATATCTTCCTGGGTCGGGGCCAGCTCCGCCCTCGGCCTTGCCTGCCTTCTCGAGCATTCTCGCTCCCTATCGATCCCCCTTGAGAGCTCTCCCCAGACACGTGATCACCCCCTAGCCTCCCCACCTGGGGGCCTCTCTATGGACACACCGGATCACGTGCCTACGGGGTCAACCAGAGTGCCAAAGCCCAGGGCAATCCTGCCCCTGGGCTGACACTCTCCCACTCCCCCTTGTGGGGACCCGCACTACACACTGTGTGGTGCCCACGCTATCCCAGCGCTCACGAAGCCCCGTTAGGGCTGGTACTACACCCGCCTACGGGGTGTACGCGATAACGGTGCATCGCACGCTGTGTTGTGCTAGACCTGGCGTCACAGCAAACCCACCCGGTGCTGTCCGTGATGTAGGGACATCGCACAGTGACATCCCCGATGTCACTACACAAAGATTCCTCATCCAGTCAAATTATGTGCTTGACGTAGTGTGGATTTCAGCGATACCGCCAGAATGTGCATGGAGCATTCATCGGTGATGTGCTTGATGGTTTGGACTTCTCCACAGTTGCAGTTGGCCGATTCTTTGAGCAGTACTTATTTCTGTTCTTGCGTTCTTGCTTAAATCTGAATTTTTTCACCTCAGCTGTTTTCCTTTTGAAGTCGCTTGGGCTGTTTGTTGTCCGGATGTCTTTATTACCACCATGTTTCTGTTCAAGTTTTGGACAGCATTCCCACAGTCCAACCACGGGCTGGAAGTGTTACTTTTTTTCGCATCAGACTTGCAGTCTCTCTCAAAAAGGGGCGCTGTGGTGTTTGAAGTCGTGACCTATTGTGCCTGGGTGTGCTTGCTGTTGCCATGTATTGTCCTCTCATCACGGGTTGGAAGTAAACAAAATATATTTTACACCACTTATAGCTTGGTACCGTACCACTTTCTGCAGTTTTGACTCTGCAAGTGACTCGAAGTACGTATTGAGCAGCGTTCACAGCACTCACGTCGTGGTTGGGAATTCTTGCGTGGTATTTGATATATTAGGGGGAGGCGTCCCCCTGCATATATAATTTACTGCTACCATGTGCTGTAAGCTACTGGAAGACAAAGGCGGTTTGTGAGGCTCTGATCCATTGGAATACATATTATCTTGGTTGTCTGTGATATATTTCGCATTGCATCTCTTCTGAATGACTCTAGGTCTAATACTTTCATAATTATTATTTGGTTCATGCTTAACCAAGATTTGTGGTATACAATAGTTACCAAGGATATTATGAGGGTTCTATTAAACTTTTTCCCTGTCTGTATCACCAGAGATCCATTCTTCTTATTCTCAAGTTATATTTTGATATCCTGAAGTTGAAGATATAGCTAAGCTTCAAACCTTACTGTTGTATTTTTAAAACCCCAGTCAGCTCATAATGATTAACTGCCCTTGGGTGGATTTTTCTGTCCAAGGAAGGTTCGTGACCCCTGCTGTTTCCGTCTTATGTTTTGTCGGTTGTTTCTTTTATGGCAGCCTTCTCTTGAAGTCAACAAGGGATTTCCCGCTGAATCTCATTAGCCCCCCCTTGGGTTTGCGGTTTTTTATATTAAATTTTATGACTTCTCAAGCAGGCGTGCGAGTAATTATCCTCCAGCTGTCTTTTGTGTGGCAAGGCAGGAGCCAACGGGGGGGGGGGGGGGGGGCACAACAAAAAAATAGGCCGAATCACTCTTAATATACATATTTGGAAAAGGCATATATACAACATGCTCTTCGAGTGAGAATAGGTTTTTTCCTTGTTTCTGGAAACTGAAATCTTTTACAAAGAATCGTGTCTGCATTAACCACAATACTTGTGGTCAGAATGGAAACAAAAACACTGATAATATATGCGTTGTCTTTGAAACTGATTGGTCCACACCAGAGATAGCTTTCTTTCGAGCCTAGTCTCAAACAGTGTTAGCCAAGAGGACGCCAAAAGGCATGCTCTTCGAGTATTTGTGATGAGATATGATACAAAACTCCGTTTTGCTGAGGCAATTAAGCAAGCATCATATGAATGCTAATATTATTATAACAGTGAATGCTTGGGAGGTTTTTGGCTCTCGCTCCTAGTTAGAGATCTACCCAATCCACAGGTCCGCAAATACTGGCTGCTCTTACTCTGCAGGTTGAACCTAGGAATTAGTTGTTCAACTTCACATTCTTTCATTGAAGGCCTGTGACAAAGGTGAATCTAATGGAGCTTCAATGTCTCAAGCTTGCACATCTACAGGGTCTCCATTTGACTTTGTATTGTCTAAGAAGTCCACCCACACCTCCACTTCCACAAACTGCTGGGAGTTGCCTCGCTCTGCCTCACAGTCAGAATTCTGTTCCTGCTTCACGCTGCCTCCATCGATGTGAAGGTCCGATTTTGGAGTTGAATCTTCACATTTCACCTTCACTTCTTCGCTCTTCACTGTCACCTCTTCAAATTTCACCTTGATACATTTCATAGTCTCCAAGCTGGAATTCACTTCTGGTTCTTTTTTCAGGAGGGATGGGCTCATTGCAGCACTTTGACTTTCACAAGTCGATTTCAGACTACACTCCTTGGGGATCTTCTGATGCCTGTGTGTCTTCTGGTGTCTATGAAGATGTTGTGACTGTGCAAATGCCTTCCCACACACACTGCACTTGAAGGGTTTCTCTCCTGTGTGTGTTCTTTGGTGCTTTTGAAGATCTGATGACTTTGCAAACGCTTTATCGCACAAAAGGCACCTGAAGGGGTTCTCTCCCGTGTGTGTTCTCTGGTGCCGTTTAAGAGGAGATGAACCTGAAAATACCTTCCAACACAAACTGCACTTGAAAGGTTTCTCTCCCATGTGTGTTCTCTGGTGGATTTGAAGACCTGATGACCATGCAAATACCTTCTCACAGACAGTGCACTTGAAGGGTTTCTCTCCTGTGTGTGTTCTCATGTGTATTTTAAGATAAAATGAACTTGAAAATGTCTTCTCACAGAAACTGCACTTGAAAGGTTTCTCTCCCGTGTGTGTTCTCTGGTGGATCTGAAGACCTGATGACTGAGCAAATGCCTTCTCACACACAGTGCACTTGAAATGTTTATTTTCTGTGTGTGTTCTCTGATGTATTTTAAGATGTGATGACTGTGCAAATTCCTTCTCACAGACAGTGCACTTGAAAGGTTTCTCTCCTGTGTGTGTTCTCTGGTGTTCTTTAAGATGTGATGACTCTGCAAAGGGCTTCCCGCACAGAGTGCACCTGAAGGGTTTCTCTCCCGTGTGTGTTCTCTGGTGTCTTTTAAGGGCAGATGAATATGAAAATGCCTTCCCACACGCACTACACCTGAAGGGTTTATCTCCTGTGTGTGTTCTCTGGTGTCTTTTAAGAACAGATGAATCTGAAAATGCCTTCCCACACACACTACACCTGAAGGGTTTCTCTCCTGTGTGTGTTCTCCGGTGTTTTTGAAGAACTGATGACCATGCAAATGCCTTCTCACACACAGTGCACTTGAAGGTTTTCTCTCCTCTTTGAGTTATCTGGTTCTGTATCACACTTCCGGTACAATCCATGCTGTTTGCATACTGGTCCCATTGTTGTCTTTTCGTACCGAGCTGCGCTGAGTGCCTTTGCTCCATCAGGCCAATTCTGCTGAGGAAGCGTCAGAAGAAGCGTCAGCTGAAGACAAAAAATATCCACACCATCTACGTCAGTATCGAGGCAAAGAGGAATGAATATATACACAGTCACACATGACTTACACATCTGTATTCATATATTCAAGATATTCCCCAATTCATCACACGGGCTCTTAAGGGACACAATGAGGGCAAATGGTTATAAATATGCCTGGAGGCCCTAGTATCTTCAAAATAAATGTTAACCCAAACACAATTTCGGTAGCCTGGCTACAAAAGGAATATTTGTAGCGAGTCCAAATGAGTCGCAGACGTTGTCTTGGGGAGCAACACTATTTGTTCCAGCAACTTCAACATAACATCACACAATCTACACTCGGGTATTGAATGCTCATCTAGCCACACTATGACAGAACTAGACACGGATCGCTATCCCAGCCCGGACCACAAGCTGGGTCCCGGAATGCGTGGCTAGAAGCTTCTTCTCCACGACGTGGATCTTCACACCAGCACGCGAAGAACCCCGAGCCCCTCACGGGGCGCCCGCTATATCCCCCTGGGCTGGGGCTGGCTCCACCCTTCGCCCCGCCCACCTTCCAGGTCTCTCGAGCTCTTTCTCAAAGGCTCCCGAGAGCTCTTTTAACAATGGTTATTAAGCTGGGTGAGTGTACTGGCAGTCTATAATGTAGACTTATTATTTGTTCTTTACCATTTATACAGTCTACATTATAGACTGCTAGTACACTCACAAAACTTAATAACCAGGCTACAGTTAACGTTAATGGTTATTTTTAGATTTTTTATTCACGTTATTATTCACTTCATTTTTATTTTTCTATCTAAATGACTTAACCGAAAGAACCAAAGATTACTATTATAGAGTTAGTATAGCTACCACTACAGCCAGTACACACTGCTATAGCGTTAGTATAGCTACTACTATGGCCAGTACACACTGCTATAGAGTTAGTATAGCTACTATGGCCAGTACACACTGCTATAGAGTTAGTATAGCTACTATGGCCAGTACACACTGCTATAGAGTTAGTATAGCTACTACTATGGCCAGTACACAATGCTATAGAGTTAGTATAGCCACTAATACAGCCAGTACACGCTGCAATATAGTTAGTATAGCTACCACTACAGCCAATACACACTGCTATAGCATTAGTATAGCTACTACTATGACCAGTACACACTGTTATAGAGTTAGTATAGCTACTACTATGGCCAGTACACACTGCTATCGAGTTAGTATAGCTACTACAGACAGTACACACTGCTATAGAGTTAGTATAGCTACTACTACGGCCAGAACACACTGCTATAGAGTTAGTATAGCTGCTACTACAGTCCATACATACTACTGTAGTGAGAGTATAGCTACTACTACAGCCACAGCTAATCAAACTCCAGTCCACCAACAAGCAAGGCAGCTTGCAAACAGCACAAAAATGGCTGCAACCAGGTGCCTACCCTGCAGCCAAAAGGAAAAGTATTTTCCACACATTCTCACTTCATTTACACTTCTGATTCATTAGATGCCATTGGTGCCATGTCTACTTCTTGCAGGTACTGCCATGCAATGACATGGAAAGAAGACCCTCCAGGACTATGCTGCAACTGTACCATGGTTCAGCTGCCTACAATTAATGACCATCCCGAGCCTATTAATGTATTGATACTTGCCAACACTACCTATGCAAGCCATTTCCGAAACAATAGAAGATAGAACGCATTCTTCCAAATTACATATTTTAGCACCAACCAACTCTTTCCAACATCTTGTTACCTGCCCACATTTCAAGTGTAGGGCCAGATACATAATCGCATTGGCAGTCTGCTGCCACTACCCAATGACCTACCTACACTACCACAGATCTACTTGCATGTCTGACAATACTAGACAGGCTTGCCAGCATTGCAACAATGTCATCAACACCAAGATGCAAGTCCTATTGCTGTGGCAAGACATGCGCTATAAATAAAACTCACGTTCACAGTTTCAAGTGTGCCATGGAGAAGATGACTTTAGAGTACAATGTTGTCAGAACATTCCTGCGGAGGGGGCTGGTAGGAACGTTGGTTGCTCGGTCAGTGGCCAGGGTCAACGGCGGCGTGGTGTATTCCGCAAATATGCCCGACTGAGGGCGGTCACAAGCCGTTGTGAGTAGGTTAAACGTTGAGTTTTATAAGGGCACCACGGGGTGGCCAGCCCCTCCCCATCCAGCCCCTCCCTACCCTCCCCTCTCCACCCCTCTCCACCCAGCCCCACCCCTCCCATTTTTTTTTATATCCGAATGTCCGGATACACGTGGACAGACATCCACAGACATACACAATCCCCTGCCTCCTGTGAGAATGAATCCCGGTTGGGCTTCCAGTCCACTACGTTTCCTACCAGTAATGCCCACTAGGAGCGCATTTGTTATATAGGGTGTCCGGATACACGTGGACAGACATCCACAGACATACACAATTAATCCCCTGCCTCCTGTGAATAAATCCCGGTTGAGCTTCCAGTCCATATAAGGGCACCACGGGGTGACCAGCCCCTCCCCACCTAGCCCCACCCCACCTAGCCCCACCCCTCCCACCCAGCCCTACCCCACCCTCCCCTCCCTCCCCTCCCTACCCTCCCCTCTCCACCCAGCCCCACCCCTCCCACGTGGACAGACATCCACAGACATACACAATTAATCCCCTGCCTCCTGTGAATTAATTCCGGTTGGGCTTCCAGTCCACTACGTTTCCTACCAGTATTAAAACTCCACATGGTCAACATGAGTGCCGCTTAAATGCACTCGTAACATCTGAAGTCGCTGTCGTTCTGACTGTTGAACAACATGGCACTTGAGGCATCATCTTGCAACCGAGGAACAATACCCTACATAGAATTGAAACGATCCTATGATGCTCTTCAATGTCCGCTGATTTTCTGGCAAGGTGATGATGTCTACCATGTCCTACTTCGCCAAACTGACCCAGCAACAGGCTTGCCAACACAAAAGATTTTCGCCATCGACTTCTTTGCCTTTAGGATCATGGTGCGAAACAGTAGCTTCAATCTCTTCTTGAGTTGCAAAGAGCTCTTCCACCAATTTGTTGTCGACATGTATGCCAAAATTGAAGCTTCATTAGATTAAACCCACCAGATGGCAAAACATCCAAAATTGTTTATCCTGAAGCTCTCCAAGGGTAACGAATTTAAAAGCTGTCCTCATTATGAAACAAACAAGCCCTGTGATTGTATAACACAACCAAAAAACCGTGACAATATACACACATATACAGACTTCATTGGCAGAATTCAATAATTATAATAAAGGCAGCATGGCAAAACATTACCCTTAATGTTTGATTACTGAGACCTGTGCAAAGCCGAGAAACTTAGCTAATACTGAATAAGTACTACACTTCTGATGAAAATGTTTGTGCGTGAGTGGGGAGTGGAAGTGCAACAGTTAGCATGCTGCGCTTTGAACCAAGCGACCCGATATTCCCAGAGCCAAGCCATAACATTTGGCTGTCACCTGATGAAACTGGTTGTAATTACTGGCAAATGTCGTACTCAGATTGTAAAATGTTGTGGCTTGGCTCTCCAACACACAACCGGTGTGCTGTACTAGTATACACTACACTATACACTACACTATACACTACACTATACACTACACTATTCACTACACTATACAACACTATACACTACACACTACACTATTCACTACACTATACACTATTCACTACACTATATACTACACTATACACTACACTATACACTACACTATACACTACACTACTCACTACACTACACTATACACTACACACCACACTACACTATACACTACACGATACAATACTATACACTAGTGCTGTACGAGTGACGAATTGGCCACGTTCTGTTTACGTGACAACCCCTACTAGTTGCCTGTGTCGAGTTTAACCCAAACAAACCTGTATCATGGATGTATATTTGGAGTTTGCGCGTCTCTCTCCCCGTATTTGCTTGGATTTTCCTCCGGATCCTCAGGGTTTTTCCCTCCACATTTAGAGTCAACATCACCACGCGTTTAGAGTATTTGACCGACAGACATTTCCACACGTTGATAAGCCACTTTGTTGTGTGCAGGTCGCTTCTGAAAAAAGCGGTATAGCTCAAGTGGGCTTGGCCTTGGTAAGATTAAAAACTGTAGAACTATTAAAAAGAAAACAAAATTTCCAGGTAGTGAGCCAGGTGAAGACAAATTAAACTTCACCAGAGAATTAAAGCAAATGCAGTCAGGCGAGGGCAGGAGGCAAGGCCCCGCATTGTAATGTTCCAACCTGGACATCGATTCCATACTCGCTGCTACTCAATTGATATTCCTAAGAGAGAGGAGCGAGGCTCTACCTCGGTTAACAACAATAATCACCACCACCACAACAACCACGATGTGAACTTCTCACCTCGGATCTCAGTGAGTGCAGGCGAGTGGATCGGGAGCTTCCTGGAATCTCGTGACGTCACGCGGCAGCAGGAGGTAACATGACGTCACTAGAGGGGTACAAAACACTCCCCTACCTAATGCGCGGCGGTGTAACTTAATAAATGATGTTAATGAACTAGGCCCATATGTGAGTGAACTCGAGGTGGAGGGGGGGTTGGGGGGGTGAATACCTTGGTGACATGACGTCACTAGTGGGTTACACCTCCCCCACGTCTCACGCCGATGAAGTAATGCTGAGTTGTGACGTCAGAGAGCGGGGTTAGAGTTTAAATTTATTTAGATTCATACTCTTTGGTTCTTTCGGTAAAGTCACTCCCTCGTCGAGGAGGCTGCTCTTATTCTTCATAATAAAGGTTTTTGGGTTAGATCGCGTTATTTATAAATGTGTCGTAACCCTCCACCACCCGACACGGCCAATCAGTAACACTGCTGCACACCGTTGACACTCAGTGGTACTGCAGGTTACTGAATGGTGAGTGGCTATCACCTCTACACATGTATGCACAAATTATAATTCCAAATTATCGATAGGCATATTGACAAAATGTAATTACAGCATCGAAATGTACTTCATCATATCATATCGTATTTATAAGAAGTTGATCTCTGTCGGATGAGGCCTACACATGCAGTACTCAGATTGAGGGAAGCCAAGTGATAGGGCATTCTCAATTTGTTGCAGAGGTTCAAGGTTCAAATCCGACAGGTATGCCTGGTTCGTCCAGGAACATGAATTACAAATATGCACCGTCTTAACAGCTGATTCTAAAACACTGTCATTCAAAACGTGTATGCGATTGCATGCTGGCGTTGTGGTTAAAATTTGGGAAATTTTAAACATTACCCACAAATTACACAACTGAGATTACACATCAATCATCGCCCTCTACTAACAGACTAATGCCCACATGCAGGCTGGTGCAGGATCACCTTATGCCACACAGGGGCAGCTGCCACTTGGGGGTGCTTGCTGTAAATAGGCTTGAAAAAAAAAGACATTTGATTAAATTATGCTAATTTAAATTAGGCTTGGCTTCATTATCTAGGGGTGTATTACCAATCGCGATAATACAATGGCAAATGTGTAATTTTATGAAATTCTGTAAATGTATGCAATTATGCAAACTAGGCTTAGCTTCGTTGTCTAGGGTGTATTACCAATCGTCAAAATACAATGATTCTCGCTTTCATTTTTGCTGATTATGTTTTAGTATAATTCTATCAGGTCTCAGAATTCAGATCTCACCGCAGGATACAGTTCTTATAATTAAGATTATGCATGAACTTAGGAATGGAACCACTCAGACTCTTCTATGTTAAGCAACTTCAATATCTAAAAACACTCTAATATGTGAACACACTTATGATCGGAATCGTCAATACCGTACTCCTGAAGATGTCCTACTCATTGATCCCTATAATTAACCGTCAATGGTTACGTTTGTTAAAACTGAGTAACAACAATCGGCTAACTGCTCCGAGTAGAGCTACCATACACGGCGATGAGAAAAGTCCGTAAAAATTTATAATACTCATACGAAACATGCTAAAGAAACATGTACCCAATGGCAAAAGTAGACATCAATGAATTCATTGGTAAAATTATGCAAGTAACGAAATGTCCTGAAACAATAGTGTGAGTGCTAGTGTGCATATTTGGCTAACAGATGCTTATCAAATTTTAATTTAATGCTTATCAATTTGCGATTGAGACATCAATGAACTTGCGGGCAAGATTCTGTGATCAAAATAAAAATCTCAACACAATAGTATTCCTGTGTGTAGATTCGTAACATAGATGCTTATAAATCTTTAGTGTTTCATCAATGAATTCATTGGTAAGGTTATGCAATTAATGAAAACAAATGACAAATATATTCTTGGTTCTTTCAGTAAAGTCACGTTGAAGGGAAATAATAAAAGAAAAAATATATATAAAACAATAAAATTCTCACGACGTTTCGACTGCAACACAAGCAGTCATCATCAGGTGTGAAACCCAACGGCAAGAAGATTTGAAAGAAGAACAATGCTTTTCATACAAACGAAGCCGTTTGTATGACATGTCCACCCTCACACCCTCACCGCTCGGCAGGGAACAAACATATTTTTGGTACAAGGGATGCCCAACCTTGGCGTCCGCCTAAAACAAAGAATTGAACTAGAAGACAAAGCACCAAAACACACATATCGGAACTAATAATAATAAGACCATTGATAAGACTGCGTCAACTATTAGCTGATTATAAAGAACATTGCTGCCCATTGAGTTATGTGGATACGGTCGTTTAGAAGTATTATAGTCGCTATTTTTTGTGATATTACCAATGAATTGATGAAACTAAACATTTAGAAACCTACGTTACGAATCTACACACTCACAGGGAGACTATCGTGTTAAAATCTTTCTTTGATCACAGAATCTTGCCCGCGAATTTATTGAAGCCTTAGCCAATTGATAAGCATTTGCTGAAATACGCACACTGCCGCACACCATTGTTCCAAGACATTTCGTTAATTGCGTAATATTACCAATGCATTCATTGACGTATACTTTTGCCTTCAGGACATGTTTCTTTATTGCCATTCGTATGAATATCGTTGCATGCATTTTTAAGAACTTTTTCCTATCGCCGTCTATGCTCCCGTTACTCTGAGGAATTAATTGATTGTTCTGTTACCCAGTTTAACAACGTAATCATTGAGGGTTAAATGTACGGATCAATGAGAACATCTCCAGGAGTACTGTGTTGACAATTCCAAGCATAAGAGTTTGCATATAAGTGTTATGTTTTTGTTTAGAAATTAAAGTTGCTTAACACAGAAGTGTCTGAGTGGTGCATTCCTAAGTTCATGCATAATAATCTTAATTATAAGAACTGTATCCTGCGGTGAGATTTTAATTTGGAGACCTGACATAACCACACTAAGATATAATCAGTAAATGTTAAAGCAAGAATAATGGTATGATCCCGATTGATAATACAACCATAGACAATGAAGCCGAGCTTAATGTAGCATACTTACATCACACTTGTATAACTTCATACAATGCCTCTGTGGTAGCAGCTACATTGGAGAAACCAAACGACATATCTCGGACCGCATCCGTGAACATAAAGCAGGCTTGAAACACGGTAGGACGAACACCTCAGCCGTGGCAGATCACTGTTATAATTCAGTGGGCCAACATGACATAGACTTCTCCAAGACGGAGGTTCTCTGCAAGTCATCCGGCTACCATGAGAGATTCGTTCATGAGGCTATTCACATATACAAACACAGAGACAATTTCAACCGGGAAGATGGATTCTGGCTTAGTAACCATTTGGAAAGACGTTATAAACCATTTCGGTTCTTGATTGATTGTATTTTACGGTGACTTTCAGATGGCAGTCCATTCGCTGGCACTGCCTATTAGTACCTATCACACGACGGTCAATAGCATAATTTATAGCATTTGTATAATAATAAATAGTATAACAGTGTAATGTTTAAGATAATTCATAAGGCAATATATAGTACCGTAATTGTATAGTGAATATACAGCAGTGTGGTATACATTAGGGTTAATAGAATAATACATAGTGTAATACTACAAGTCTAATATTTTATAGTCTAAAGAAAAGGGTAGTGTATAGTAACGCAGTGTATAATTCAAGGGTGGGATTTGTCTATGGATACGATATTATACAATGTAGTTTAGATTAGAAGGTATATTGTATTGTATAGTAGTCCAGTTTATAGCATAGTTATAACGCAACACAGGACAGAGCAGCGCACCGTGGCTGTTTCCTCCTCTTCCCCCCCCCCTCCTCCGTTCCGAACATAGATGGACTCGTCCGTCTGAACACAAGCTCGTCGTTCTCCGTGGTGTTAATCCCTCATACTAACATCATGCTAATCCCCCAGTTACATGCTAATTTACTGTTGATATGTAAACTGCTGCTAATCCCTCACACCAACATTATGCTAGTCCCCCAGTTACATGCTAATTTATATGTAAACTCCTCTCCCCCCTCCCCTCGTCCGTCTGAACATAGCTTGTCGCTCTCCATGGTGCTAATCCCTCACACCAACATCATGCTGATCCCCCAGTTACATGCTAATTTATATGTTAACTCCTTTGTCAAGGTGCTCTGTTCCCTCCCACATAGCTTAAAAGACGCTGTCCATGCTTGGCAGTGTTCACTCAGGCTTGTGAGTAATTATCCTCCAGCTGTCTTTTGTGTGGCAAGGCAGGAGGCGGGGGGGGGACTCACCATTGCCATGCCCCAGCGCTACATCCCTATCAAAATTACAAAAAAAAGTCAGAATCACAACATGCTCTTCGAGTGAGAAAATGGTTTTCCCCTTTTTCTGCCAACAAAACAGGTGTTGAGATGTTAAAACACCAAACTGAAACCTTTTACAAGGAATCATGTCTGCATTAACCACAATACTCATGGTCAGAATGCAAACAAAAAATCTACTCTGATAATATATTGTCTGTGAAACTGATTGGTCCACACTGAGTCTCAAAAGGTGTTAGACCAGAGGACGCCAAAAAGACGTGCTCTTCGAGTGTTTGTCATGAGATATGATACAAAACTCCGAGTTGTTGAGGCAATTAAGCAAGCACCATATAAATGCTAGTATTATTATAACATAGTGAATGCTTGGGAGTTTATTGGCTCTCGCTCCGAGGAAGAGATCTACCCAACCCACAGGTCCGCAAATACTGACCGCTCTTACTCTGCAGGTTAAACCTAGGAATGGAGTGTTTAACTTGACGTTATTTTTATTAAAGGCCTGTGACAAAGGTGAATCTATTGGAGCTTCATTGTCTCAAGATTACACATCTACAGTGTCTTCATTTGAATTTGTATTGTCTAGGAAGTCCACCCATACCTCCACTTCCACAAACTGCTGGGCGTTGCCTCGCTCTGCCTCACAGTTCAAATTCTCCTCCTGCTTCACGTTGCCTCCATGATTGTGAAGGTCCGATTTTGGAGTTGAATCTTCATCTTTACATTTTACCTTCACGTCTTCGCTCTTCACTATCACCTCTTCACATTTCACCTTCGCCTCTTCAAATTTCACCTTGATACATTTCATGGTGTCCAAGCTTGAATTTACTTCTGGTTCTTTTTTCAGAAGGGATGGGCTCATTGCAGCACTTTGACTTTCACAAGTCGATTTAAGACTACACTCCTTGGGGATCTTCTGATGCCTGTGTGTTCTCTGGTGTCTATGAAGATGTGCTAACTGTGAGCACGCCTTCCCGCACAGAGTGCACTTGAAGGGTTTCTCTCCAGTGTGTGTTCTCTGGTGTTCTTTAAGATGTGATGACTCTGCAAAGGGCTTCCCGCAAAGGTTGCACCTGAAAGGTTTCTCTCCTGTGTGTGTTCTCTGGTGTTTTTGAAGATATGGTGACTGTGCAAATGCCTTCTCACACACACTGCACTTGAAGGGTTTGTCTCCTGTGTGTGTTCTCTGGTGTTTCTTAAGATTTGACGACAGTGAAAATGCCTTCTCACACAAACTGCACTTGAAGGCTTTCTCTCCTGTGTGTATTGTCTGGTGTTCTTTAAGAACTGATGACTTTGCAAACGCTTTATTGCACAAAAGGCATCTGAAAGGTTTCTCTCCTGTGTGTTTTCTCTGGTGTATTTTCAGGGCAGATGATTCTGAAAATGCCTTCTCACACACAGTGCACTTGAAGGCTTTCTCTCCTGTGTGCGTTCTATGATGTATTTTAAGATGTGATGACTCTGAAAATGCCTTCGCACACACAGTGCACTTGAAGGGTTTCTCTCCTGTGTGTGTTCTCTGGTGCCTCTGAAGATCTGATGACTCTGTAAATGCCTTCTCACACACAGTGCACTTGAAAGGTTTCTCTCTTGTGTGTGTTCTCTCGTGTTTTTTAAAAGCAGATGAATCTGAATATGCCTTCCCACACACACTACACCTGAAAGGTTTCTCTCCTGTGTGTGTTCTCTGGTGTCTGTTAAGAACAGATGAATCTGAATATGCCTTCCCACACACACTACACCTGAAGGGTTTCTCTCCTGTGTGTGTTCTCCGGTGTTTTTGAAGAAATGATGACCATGCAAATGCCTTTTCACACACAGTGCACTTGAAGGTTTTCTCTCCTCTTTGAGTTCTCTGGTGCCGTATCACACTTCCAGTACAATCCATGCTGTTTGCATACTGGTCCGATTGTTGTCGTTTTTTACCGAGCTGCGCTGAGTGCCTTTGCTCCATCAGACCAATTCTGCAGACGAAGCGTCAGAAGAAGTGACAGTTGCAAACAGAAAAAAATATCCACACCATCTACGTCAGTATCGAGGCACAGAGGAATGAATATATACACAGTCACGCACGACTTCAACGTCTATGTTTATTCATATATTCAAGATATTCCCCAATTCATCACACGGGCTGTTAAGGCACACAATGAGAGGCCAAATGGTTAGAAATATGCCTGGAAGCCCTAGTATCTTCAAAATAAATGTTAACCCAAAACACCAAGCACACAATTTCGGCTGCCTGGCTGCAAAAGTAAAAGCAAAATTCAGCTAACATAGCAAAGGCTGTTGAAAATAATACTATTTGTATTATGCAGAAATGCATAAATTAATGTTAAATGGCAACTTAGATGTGTGAAGCCAGGCTCCGATTTGCTTGAATGCTCGGATGAACAGATCTAACTTCAGCTGCATATATGCTGCGTTAATTTTCTGACTGTTTCCATTCTTACAAAAAGTTCCAGAGGAAAACTAAAATAAACTATTGTTTTGATTTAACCTTCATGTTCAATAGTTAATAGAATTTACTGCAAATACAAAGTGTACAATGTGACACACTGGCATGGTACAAAGGTGCTGGTGTGTCCAGAACCATGCCTGGGCAGCTTCATCTGCTCAGTATTAATGCTTCCTCACTTCACCATGTAATTAATTTAAGATCAATCAACATAGCAGAGGCCCACAATAAGTTCAGCTTTCACTTATCACTCATGTTTGCTGTCGGCGATAATCAAACTAATTCTTGAGTTCATAATGCAGCGAAATAACTGCACCACAGCTCCCCACAAAGATAAACTCTTAAATACACGTACATTTCACATGCATCATTAACATATATAAACAAAACATCCACCATTCATGACGAATTGCAAGTAACCTTATCCCAGTGCTAATGCCATGATAGATGCAATTTAAGGCCATGTAAGTGTGGATTCCTTGTCGGCAGTAAATGGGAATGATCCAGGTGTAAAGGGATGACTGACAGATGAACCAGCTGTGCTCCCCACTGTCTTGCTGGGTTTTAGGAACCCAGCGGTCCACCTTTTCACGCGCAAATATCTATTAACTGCCCTGCAGCATACCTCAAGGACCTCCTCCACAGAGGCCAATCTTGACACTCTCGGCACCAGTCATCGGCAGGTCTGACCACCTCCACATCCTTCAATCTCTTCTTTAGTCAATGCCATGCCTGTTCAGCCCCTAATATCTGGACAAACAAAAGATGCTTGAGCATGCAGTGTCTGGGAATGTGGGATTCATGACCGAACCAATGCAGCCTTCCCTGCCAAAGAGACTCAAGATTATATTCTATATTGATATCTTAAGGATCTGTAAGCTTATAATACAATATAGTCTGGTTAAATAGAGAATGAATCATAGGCAGGCAAGCCTTCAATGTATAAGCCAGCAGAGATGGTAATTTAAATAAGTTAATATTCTGAATCCACAGAGTAATATCTGTGGCCAAGAAGAATGACAGCTTTGTTCGTTAGTATCTAAAAACACTTGTCCTGGTGAGGGTCGCGGTGACAGCATGCTGAGTAGGGCGGTCCAGGCCTCGCTTTCCCTGGCAACAGACTCTAGCTCAATCTGGGGAATTCCCAAGCGTCCCCTGGCTAGCTGAGCAACATAGTAATGCCAGCGTGTCCTGGGCCAGCCCCGGGGTCATCACCCAGTGGGACGTGTCTGGTAGAGTTCTAGGGGGAGTCTATTGGGGGGCATCCTTACATATATTCTATATTGATATCACCCCTAAGGCCAGACCCAGGGGTTGTGTTCGCCAACAAGTGCCTCGTGGCTGTGTGACCCACGTAACTCAGTGGCTACGTGGTGCCATCCTGTGCGTCGAACATCCGCAGGATGAAGGGTGAGGAGCGGGTGCGATGCCAGTATGGCAGGGAGAGGGATGGTCTCAAGACAGACTAGACCTTGGAGATGGAAACTCATACGTAGCTTTGTATGGAAAAAGTCCAGGCACCTTCCACACAGTGTTACAGTCTAATGAAAGAATGCTGCTCGACAAATTTTAAGTGAGACTTTGGCTGCCAAAACAGCGCTGGTCGTGAACACATTAACCAGGTTTGGGAGCTCCTCCAACACTTGTAGAACTGCCTGATTATTCATGGAGAGTTGAGGTGCAGTGCTGTATGACATGACATTCCCAGGCAGGTGATTTATTTACGTGGAACATTTTCAAGGCCCCATTCCATGATGGAATTATCTAGGCACAGAACAAGATTCCCTAATTCCATCTCATTGAGTAGCCATTACCAAATCATCAAATGTAACATGGTTGACCAGCAGGAAACGATCCTTTAACTAAAACCAGGCATCGATTAGCGTATAATTGTAACCGTAACGAATGTAATGGTTTTTATATGACCATTGGGAGCTTCTCAAACTACATAGTTATTGAACATGCTATGTAATGTAATGCATGGGGCCAGCATGAATTTCTGTCACAAGCCAAGTTAAACAGGCAATGGCTCTGACTCCTGGTCACGCAGCTTTAGACGGGGCTTCCCAAAAATCGTACAAATCCTCAATAAATTAGAGCAGAGGCATATATTTGGAAACAAATAACAACCCAAAGCCCCAAGCCTCTTTGTGGAACCATAAGCCTTAATTAAATCAAGAAAGCAGATAACTATTTTCTGGTGAAAATCCATATTCTGCTGTAGTCGATGGACAGAAAATACAGCAGCTCCTTGCATATCGCGGAAGATACGTTTTTGGAAATTGCAAAAGCTAAAAGCGCGATATTCAATACAAACGCCTTACCTAAGTAATGGTGTTAGGTAAACGTCAACTAAAATTCACATCACAATTGAAATAAGTACTATACTGTATTCCAAATAAACTAAACAATTTAAATAAACACGGAGAAACAAACAAAATGGTATAAATCTTTAAATGATAAAGCAGACTTTGGGCTTGTGTAGATTTTTTTGTGAACCAAACTGCGCCAACACACTTCAAACTTTCCATTCGTGTGTTTCTCGCACTATTTTTAGCTTACCTGCTCACCTTCAACACCTGTACCACCTGCACACCCCCCTGCTCCTTACCTCCCCCCCCCCTCTCTTTCTCTTGCCCTGTGTTAAAGCCCAGCGCATTCTCACTACTTCCGGTTTGCCACACATGCAAACACATTATGACATTTCATTTTCTACAATTCCACGCACTCACCATGACATAAGTGTCTCCACTGCACTGCTATATTTGTTCTCATATTTACATTATCCTTCCCTATTATCAGCCCTGCGTTTTTGCCGCCAAATTCATCCACTTCCAGCTCCTTACTATCCTCTCTGCATGTGCACGGCTCACCTATAATACACACTGCAATATTTATTAAAAAAACATGTACTATTCTAAAATATTTACATCTATGTACCAAGACTACCGACCTCCTTCTACACAACATAGATGCGATAGAACAGCTACGACTAAATACGTCAAGTCTATTCTAGATTTAAAGCTTTCGTGACTGCAAGGATCCATACTCTTTGGTTCTATTGGGTAAAGTCACGTAGGTAAAAAATAAAATAACAAAAATCACGACGTTTCGGCCACAACACAAGCGGCCTTCATCAGGTGAAGGGACGAGACTGTCTGGAGGACAGCGCTGGAGTGAAAAAAAGAGCCACGCTCAGATCACGACCTTTAAGCTGTGTGAGAAGAAACAAAGCGCCTTGACAAAGGAATTAGCATATAATTTAGCATTGAAATGGCTGAGTGATTAGCTTGCGACTGGTCACAGAAATGGCTGTTAAAGTTAAAGCATACACATCCGCAAAGGCACCCCTTGACAAAGGAATTAGCATAGAATTTAGCATTGAAATAGCTAAGTTAAAGTATACACATCCGCAGAGGCACCCCTTGACAAAGGAATTAGCATAGAATGTAGCATTGAAATAGCTGAGTGATTAGCTTGTAACTGGTCACAGAAATAGCTATGTTAAAGTCAGAGCATATACATTCACCGAGGCACCTAGTACAAATCAAACAGGAGAATTTAGCGAAACACAACCATGCTCAGACCGCGGACCTTTAAGCTGTGTGCGAGCAAACAAGGTGTCCTGACAAAGAAATTAGCATAAAAATTAGCTTTTGATTGGCCGATTTTAGAAAAGAGGTGGTGTACGTGCCGGTGGACTTGCCGTTTGGCGCGGGGGGGGGGGGGCAGTTTACCTATTGATGGTGTGAAAAGGGAATTTATAAGAGCTGCGAAAGTTTGGGGTACCACTACTTGAAAAATATACTGTACCATTGAAATTAGTTTAATGTTTAGTTCGATTTAGAACATCTTTCCAATGGTTGCTTAATTTGAAACCATCTTCTCGGTTGAAATTGTGTCTGTGTTTGTAGATCTGAATTGCCTCGTGAACAAATCTCTGATAAAAACCCGTGGGTTTGCAAAGAACCTTGGTATCGGAGAAAATTATATCGTGATCACCCACAGCGTTGTAACAGTGATCAGCCACGGCAGAAGAATTCGTTTTGCCGTGTTTCAAATCTGATTTGTGCTCGCGAATTCGGTCAGAGACATGTCGCTTTGTCTCCCCGATATAGCAAGAAACCCATTAGTAACATCAGCAAAAATGAACGCTCTGAACTCGCGAAATTAAAAAACAGAATTGATATAGTCATCCTCTCAGCCGATAAAGGCAACGCTACTGTTATTATGGATAAAGATTCATACAACAACAAAATCCAGAATCTGCTCAACGATGGAAGTTACTCAAAAATAAAAAAATGACCCTACCAATAGCCTAGCGATAAAAACCAACAAGATCATCACAAGTTCGACCTCCCTAATCGACCCAACTAAACGTTCCTCCCTAAAACCTTCTGCTGCAAGACCCCCTAGATGCTATGGTCTTCCCAAGATTCAAAAAGAAGGCACCCCACTACGACCCATCGTATCCACTATCAACTCCCCTACCTATAGACTAGCCTGTTT